CCATCTCAGCATGTTGCAAAAAAGAGGTTTAGCAAAAGGTGATGATCTGATGTTTCTGAATCTATTGAGGTAGATTCCTGCTGTCAGTTTCACAGGATGCTTTATTGAACGTAAATTACTTATGTTATTACTGAATTTTTCATTCTCTAAGAGTAGAATTATAAATCATCTGTTGGCTGTGCTCTTAAGGGATTAAAGAACTAGGAAAGAGCTGAGGTGTATGACTGTTCACTTTAGTATAACATGGACCAATAAGTGTAAATGTATCCTAAACAAGGCCCAAGTTAATAATTTCAAAGCCACTCTGACTTCATTATGGTCCAGATACAAGTCCAATGCTTAGTACTCCTACTTAGAGTTCTGAATTTCCCAATTGTGCAAATGCTTATAACCACTTACTCTTCTCTCATTAAAAAAAGTTGTTTCCAGAAACCTAGTGGCCCTTCAGGTCCTGGTTCATGGCACCTCTCACAGGTTAATACTTCATGCACCACGCGTAAGGATGAATGGGCATGGAGAGGTGGAGGTTGGGAGCATTTTGTAAGTAAATGTAGGTGTGAAAAAGATATACTTGGAGATATGACAATATCAGATATTTTAAATTTGCTCCTTTAACTTGTTAAGATTTAAAAAATTGAGCTGTTAAGCATACATATCCTGCTCAAGTTTCCAAACCACAACAGCCTAAGTCTGTCAAATACTCTAAGGTAAATCAGTATCTAAAACAATATTCATTTAAATGCCATCTGTTCTCATACTGACCCAAATGCTTTGCAGATTCCTAATAAACTCAGAATATCTCTACAAAGAAGAAACTGAAGAAATGCAGACCAGTGCTTTCTCTGGTCAAGAAAATAAATGCCAAGTCAGGGTAGTTCCACAACACACTATTTTAGCAATGACACCAACAAATTCCAAGTAATGTTGATAAACACAATTAAACCTAAATTAAGAAAGTATGTTATTTGGTGAATTTTCTGTAATAGGTTAAGAACTTACTATCAAAAACAAAAACACTTGAAGGACCTCATAAAGACAGGGAAAAATTAATACCATAAATAGCTGATATTTTTAAATTCTTACCAAATTCTAGGCACTATTTGAAGTATTAGATGGACATTATCCATTAAATCCTCAAATATCTACTAACTAATACGTAGTATATTAGTATCTATAAGTTACTAGTGTTATTTCTATCATGTAATTAAGAAAATCAAGGTAATAAGATGTTAAGTAACTTGACTTAGAAAACAGAAATTTGAGATTTAAACTCAGGTAGTGCAAATTCAGAATCATTGTGCATTTCTTTAATGACAAATAAACATGGCATAAACAGTAAATTATTTACATCAGGGGTCAGCAAACTTTTTTTTTTGCAAAAGACAAGAGAGTAAGTATTTTTAGATTTTTGCAAAAGATGACTGAGTCAATATTTTTGGACTGTGGATTATTTACAGTCTCTGCTGCGTGTTTTTTTAAATGACACTTTAAGATGTGAAAACCAGCCTTAGCTTTCAGGGTGTACATAAATAGGCAGCAGTCCCAAAGCTGTAGTTGCAGCCTTGACTTAAACAATGACAAGGATAATGACATTTATGTGGTTGGGTTAAACAAGCCGCATAGAAACTAAGAGACAGAAAGAAATCCCTAAGATAGATCAGATTGGCGTAATTGCTTCTGCACCTAAGATTTGGGAAGACATCTACAAAAACTGGAGACAGAAATAGGAAGCATGATAGGACAATGACTCATGGGCACTATCAGCTTGACTAAAGAAAATAGCTTTGTCATCAGCTTTGAAATAGAAACTATACCAGTCACAGAGGCAAAAAAATTCATCTTCTGGCCTTGAACTAATATTTTTTTCCAGGGATCCTCTCCTCAACATGTCTTTGTTCAGGGATATCAGTAACTCCAACAGAAAGAAACTTAAGAACCTAATTACAAAGTCCTTCTCCTGGACCTTTGCCTAGAACTAAGACAGGGAAACAAAAACTGGATTTACCTTCCAACCTGGCACTAGCAAATAAACACAAACTGAAGAAAATATATAAAGCAGGGATTATTTTATAAAAACATTGGGTATGAGGAGTAAAAAAGAACAATGATCTATGAGAGATGAAAACAAAGAAGGTGAATTCTGTCATCACCCAGCTGACCCTGTTTACACAGTTTGCAAGCCACACACAGGGAAGGGGAACTGAGAAGCATTTAGGAAAACGCCTGCATTGAGAAAGACAAAGGCAGCAAGCGTTCAGAAGAGAATACAAAAGAGAGGACATGAGCTGCGCAGAGAGAGAACCCCAGAGGTCTGCAGAGAGTCTTCCTTGAGGTATCAATAAGGTACAGATCAGAACATCAGTGTGAGGGAGCCATCAGAGGGGTGGGGGAAAGAACCATACAAAAGAAATAATACCCAGTGTTCACACAGATCAGAGGACAGTGCCCCCTCCCTACAGCAAGGCTGGAAAAGATCATAGTTTATGGAGCATTGGATGAAACACTCAGAAATCTTCCCTTCATCATGGAGAATAATTAACCCCAGACTGAGAATTTCTTGATATTACCTAACAATCATAAAAGCAATACCCAGGAGCATCACTCTGTTCTATGTAACTTAAAAACATCTCACAGTAAAACTCAGGCGTATTTATAGAAACACAAGAAAAGCTAGCACTGACCTAAGTAAAATTCACCTTGTCTGAATTCCAACCAAAGATTAGCAAGCATGCAAAGAGTCAGAAAAACATGGCCCTGTGGGAAATAAGGTCATAAGGTGAAAAATAAAACTAATTCATAAGTTAGGATTAAAAGGCATGAACATTAAAATGGTTAATATTAACTTAATATAGTCATATATTTTTAAAAGCTACATGGAGACAGAAAAGAAATTTTGAAAAAGCACCCTTCTACAAAGATAAACACTAAAAATAGTGAGGTTAAAAAACGCACTGTATGGTATTAATGATAGATTAGACATCTACAGAATGGATTAATAGACCAGAAGATATAAAAATAGACACTATCAAAGATAAAACAATGAGAGAAAATAATTTTAAAAAGAAAGGAATGAAGGGAGGGAGGGAAGAAGAAAGCAAGAAGCACCGGGATGTCGTGGGACGACTTCCGGCAGCCTACCACTCGTGTGATTGGAGTCCCTTAACAGGGCGTGGGGTGCAGGGAGGGAGAATAAGGGAGGACAGAAACAAATATTTAAAGAGATAGTAGCTTAGTAGCTTAAATCTTTGGAAACTTGGTGAAAAGGCAAGAGGAAACTCCTCACAAACAGATGTGCACTGCAGGAAATGATAGAGTCCTTTAAGAAAAATAAAAATGTCACATGATGATACTTGGGATCTAGAAAAATGGTAAACAGCGCCCGAAATGGTAACTGAATGGGTATGTAGTTTTTTATTATTCTTAAAATATTTTTAAAAGATTATTTACTGATAAGGCAAAAGTAACAACTATGTATTTTGGTGTTTATAACATATATAAACATAAAATATATGGCAACATTAGCATGAAGGCTGAGAGAAGAGAAATGGAAGTATACAGTCATAAGGCTATACTCCTACATATGATATTATATACAACAAGTTATGATGTACTGGTGTGGCATAAATTCTGAAACAACTACTAAAATAACAAAGCAAAGGGTAAGAGCTAATAGGACAAGGGTGAAATAAAAATGGGAGAGTAAACAATATTTAATTAATACCAAAGAAATAGTATAAAAGAAAACACTAAGACAAAATGAAAACAAATATAAATATAATAGACATCTAATTATATAAAAATTATGTTAAATGCAAATTATTTAAACATTCAAACTAAAGCCAGAAATGATCAAATTACATAAAATAGCAAAATGACCATATGGCACTTAGAAGGAATACCTAAGTATAAAGATTAAAAAAAATAGCTTAAAAGTAAAAGGCTGGAAAGGGATGGAAAGCAATACAAGAAAAGTAGTTGTTCATATTGAAAATATTAATAAACAATAATACAAAATAAACCCTGTGTTTTACATATTCACAATTGTAAAACTACGTTTGCCCTACCTTGTATGTCAACATCCTTTATTAACATAGTTGAAAAAATCCTAATCCAAACTTAGGAGATTTAATGCACTTGTTTAAATGACAATACTCATAAATCACAAGAATACAAGGTTGGTTTAACATTCTAAAACAAAATCAATGTAATTCTACACATTAAAACACTGAAAAAATAGAAAAACTAAATGATCATCTCAATAGGTGTAGAGGAAGTATTAGACAAAATCAACACCCATTCGTGATAGAATTTCTCAGCATCCTAGGAATAAAAGGGAACTTCTTCAAACTGTTAACAGGCATTTATGAAAAGTATACACTTTACACAATACTCAATGGTTCAACATTGAGTGATTTCTTCCCAAGATCAAGAACACAATAAGAATATACACTTTCACCACTTTTATTCAACATTGAACTGGAGATTCTAGTCTATTAAAACAGGCAAAGAAAAGAAATAAAAAGCAGCCATGTTGGAAAGAAATAAAAATGTTTTTATTAGCAGACAAGATCATTCTATATGTAGAAAATCCAAGAAGTCCACAAAAATATCATTAGAATAGTGAGCTTGTGAAGTTTCAGAACATTAAGTTCTGAATTTTAAATTATATTGTAATTTTGTATGCTAACAACAGAAATTAAAGCTACAAATTATTGCAAGACCATCTATGGTAGCATAAAAATATGAACTCTATAATCTATAATCTAGCAAAATATATGAAACATCTGTACAGAGACTATTATAAAACAGTGTTTAGAGAAATCAAAGAACACTAAAATAAATGGAAAGATATACCTTTTTCATGAGTTTAGCAAATAAAGATTTTTTGAGATTTCAATATTTCCTAAATTTGTCTATAGATTTAAATGCAATTACATTAACAATTTCTAAAGCTTTTTTACAAATTCAGAAATTCAAAAATTTACAAAGAAATGCAGAAACCTAGATAAGTCAAGACAAGTTTGAAAAAAGTTAGACTAGCACTGTTATTTTAAGATATATTAAAAAACTGCAGGATTCCAAATAGGATGGTAGTGTAAAAATGTACAAGTTGGTCAATAGAACAGAACCAAGTCCAGAAATAGACCCATGCGAATATGGATAACTGATTGCTGGCAAAATGAAAAGGCAATGTAGTGAAAAACAAACATTCTTTTCAGCAAATGTTGCTAAAATAATTGACTATCCATAAGAAAAAAAACTTTGATACATAACTCACAAAAAAACCAAATTAGTATCAGATTTTTATGTAAAATATGAAACTATAAAATTTCTAGAAGAAGGCCTGGGTGGTGTGGTTCAGTGGGTTGAGCACGGGCCTGTGAACCCAAAGGTCACTGGTTCATACCCAGAGCACATACCCAGGTTGTGGACCAGGTCCTGCATTGGGGACATGCAAGAAGCAATTGATCAATGTTTCTCTTGCACATTGATGTTTCTCTCTCTTTCTTTCTCCCTCCCTCCTCCTCTCTCTAAAAAATAAATAAAATCTTTACAGAAAAAGTAAAATAAAATTTCTAGAAGAAAACATAAGAGAAAAATTCTGTGGCCTTAAGTTAGGCAACAAACTTTTAGAAAGAACAGTAGAAACATGAAAATGGACTTCATTAAAGTTTAAAACTTTTGCTTTTCTGAGAACTGTTCAAAAAACAAAAAACAAGTCATAAACTGAAAAGACAATCAGAACAATAGCTGATAAAGGACTTTTATCTAGAACAGAAAGAGCTTTTGAGACTCAATATATAAGAAAAAAATAACTGAAATAAGAATTTTCAAGAAATTTGCCCTGGCTGGTGTGGCTCAGTGGTATGAGTGCCAGCCTGGAAACCAAAGGGTCACCAGTGTGATTCCCAGTCAGGGCACATGCCTGGGTTGCAGGCCAGGTTCCCAGTGAAGGACATGCTAGAGGCAACCACACATTGATGTTTCTCTCCCTCTCTTTCTCCCTCCCTTCCCATTCCATCTAAAAATAAAATAAGTAAAATCTTATAAAAATGTTTCAAGAAATTTGTAGGTGATTTTATCTAAGAAAATGTACATTTAACAAATAAACACAAAAGAAGACGCTAAAAAATCATTCTCCATTTAGGAAATGCAAAGTAAAGCTAAAATGATACACCACTGTGTACCTATTAGAAGAGTTAAAACTGCAAGACTGATCATACCAAGTATAGACCATGATGCAGGGGAATGGGAACATGAGAACACTGCTGGTAGAAATGCAACATAATACAACTTTGGAAAACAGTGTGGCAGTCTCTTTAGCTAAACAAACACCCACTGAATGATTCAGACTTTACACTCGTAAATATTTACTCAGGAGAAGAGAAATCCTGTTCATACAAACACTTATACACAAATGTTCATAGCAGCTTTATTTCTAGTAGTTCTTTTCAAGAATCCAAATGGTATCAACAGGTAAATGGATAGACAAATTGTGGTCTATTCACACACAAGAATAATATTCAACATTTAAAAGGAATGAAACACTGATACAAACGACAAGATAGATGGCTCTTAAAATAGTTATGCTAAGTAAAGGTAGCTAGAGAAAAAAAGGCATACTGTATGATTTCATTCATATAATGCACTACAAAATTCCCCCTGAGATTGGACCGGTAGTTGCCTGGGGAAGAGCTGTTGAGGAGGAGCATGGTGAAACTTTGATGGGTGATGGAAATGCTCACTGTCCTGTTTGTAGTGATGATTTCAAGGGAACATGTTTACAGAAGCAAAAACTTGTTGATTGTGGGTTTGAAATATGTGCACTGAAAACAGAAGACATATTTCCAATTCCATGTGTTCCTATTCGATTATATTTCTATGCCTAACTCGGTTTGTTCTACACTTGAGTGCCATTATTTTTGGTCCTATATGTTTCTGCACTATACCACAGTGAAACCGATTGAGAAGAGTTTATCTATAAAAGTTATGTACTTTGGGGGGGGGATTAACTTTTTTTTCCTTCTGGGGCACCCACCCCACAAATCTAACAAATACTGATTGGAAAAATTAAATGCAGTAAGTAGTTTTTTGGTAGAGAAAAGATGAAGAAATGACCTAATTAATTGTAAACTAGTTTATAGAAAAGACCATCAGATATGGAAGTATTTCCCAGGACACCCCAATGGCACCAAAATGTGAAGATAATGTGTGTGTGTGTGTGTGTGTGTGTGTGTGTGTGTACATGGAAAGCCTGGAGAGAGACCCGATTTCAAAGACCAACAAGTGGTAGCTTTTGACATTGAGCACATGAGCTTCTTGATTGCAGCATGGCCTTTCCTCTTTTCTACTTGTTCATGTGCTGTTTCCCGTACATGCTTCCTTTTTTCCCCCTCTATTGCGGTTGGGCAACTCCTCCCTTGTCTTTCTTCTCTGCAGTTTTTGAAGGGTGAGGGGAAGATGGCACTGAGGTAGAAGGGGTTCCCAAGGCTTGGAAAGGAGCAAAACATTAAAATAAACAAGGAAAGAGGGACCAAAGTTTGGCTGGGAAGCTTTAGACAAGCTAGGTAAAAAAAAAAATGTAGACAGAGATAGAATCAAAACGTTTGACATAAAGGTGTCTGGCAGCTGGAGCCCCACGTTCTGCTAAGAAGCTCTATGGTCTCCCAACACCTGTTCTCAGGGCTCTCGTGGTTTGCACCAGGTGAGGAAGAATAGCTTAAATTCCAGAAAAGAGTTCAAAGACCGGCTCCTCCATTTCTTCCAGAGCCTTCAAAGTCACTGTGCTCTCAATGAGATTGGCCTTCTTCTGACATATACTGTACGCAGTTAAAATGCAGTTGTCAGCAAAAACAGTTCCCCTTTGTAGATAGGCACAAGTGTCTGAAGGATGTTTCTGGGAAACAGCTCCCTGGATCCTAAACCTGGAGGTAGGGACAAAAAAAAAAAGAAAGAAAGAAAAGTAGATTACTGCCACCTTGTGTCAGGAATTGAGCCTTGTCTCAAAGTTTCAGATCAGTAATAACTGAGGGAAGCTCTGGGAAAGCCAGCTCCGTGTGTGAGAGGGATGGGGAAAGAGACTCTCAGAAATTCCACAAGCTTCTCTCTGGCAAGAAAAGCACATTGTGTGGAATCCTGCAGTAACATCACCAGGAGGTTGGACAAAGAACAGGAAACTTACACGTGGGGCATCAAAGGAGAACCATCCTCCCAGAGCCAGAAGTAGCTTGCTTTCCTCCGAGACAACCCTGTCCAGAACGGGAAATTGGAATGAGCACTTGCTTGCTTGATGAATTCCTGTGGGGAGCAACATTTCTGAGTTGATGTTGGAGTCGGCACGGTTGTTTTACAGATTCCCAAAAGTAAAGAGCCAAAAGAAATCTTCAACATCCTCTCAATGGTTTCACAGAAATGTGTACTGAAGCACAGAGATACTCCATAACCTGTCTGTCCAAGGTCACGGATGGAACTTGTGGCCAGGCTAGTAAACAGATATTCCGGCTCTCAGAGACGCCTTCACACGGGACCCAAACCTGATTCATTTCCTTCTAAGCCAATATAGCAATCCAACACACATTCTTAAAAACTCACCAGATCAGATGTGCTATTAATTATCAGCATCTGGGCATCCAAAGACAAGCAGTTCTCCTGGCTTTTTTCCCAGTTAAGTGGGTCAGTGGGAAAGAAGTAGCAGTTTTTTTCATGCCAGAGCCAGTCTTGGGGACAAGGACCTAGGAAGTGTGAAATGTCTAATCAATGAGTTATGCCTGAATAAAAATATTTCTATAATTCTTAAGTCAAGTCTTCTCTCAAGATTCTCACATGAATACCACCTCTTCTTAATTAGATTTACACTCAGATTCTGCAAATAACTCAATAGCTATAGTGTCTTTATGTCTCTGGCTTGTTTGTTTTATTTATTTATTTATTTTTGAGCAAAAGAAAAAACACTCTGATTTTATTAACCTAAACTAGAAAGCAAGGCTGTTAAAAACAAGGTTTAGGCTGGGATATAATTTTAGAATCTGGTCTATTTTTTTAATTAAGTTTGGAAAAATGGAAGTGAAAGTTGGGGAAATAAGTACACAATACCCATTCCACTTTTTAAAATAATATGCTTATGTATTGTAAAACTTCATGTCCTCAAATAATGAATTCAGGCTTAAATGTCATGCCTCCTAATTTAAGACATATAAATTAGTAGCTCACATGTAGTAGCTCATATGTGGCTCTCGAATACTTGAGTTGTGGCTAGTCTGCATTAGGACGTGCTATAAGTATAAAACACATGCATGATTTTGAAAACTTAATATGAAAAAAGTGTAAAGTATCCCATGAATAATCTTTATACTGCTTACTTCTAAAAAACTCTTCAATACATTGAGTTAAAGAAAATATGTTACTAGAATTAATTTCATCTGTTTCTAACTTTGAAGTGTGGTTACTGGGGTATTTAATGAGGCATACATGGCACATACTCTATTTCCTTTGAATACAGGTGTTCTAAAGAGAACTGTACATTGATGAGAGTGAGCATCTTCATTTCAGTAAGATTTCAGAAAATAGGGAGTTTTCCATTACAAAATCCTCACAGAGTCCAAAACACCCCAATGAAGGTCTAGGCAATAAACAAAATATGCCAATGTCTGTATGTTTATGGATATTTTAAAAGATGTACCAAATCCTCCTCCTTCTCCTCCTCCTCCCCTTCCCCATCAAATACCATCCTCCTCCTCCTCATCATCATCTCTTCTTTGTGTTAGTAGCATTTGGAATCACTTTAATAAGAAACAGAGTCCTTCGGTCTATGCTATGACCAAAAATGAAAGATACCAAAATCCTTGAGAAAGGCAACCTTTTATTGTGTATTATCATCGTGGCATAAAAGCATTAGATAATCTTTTAAGAGTAGATTTTATCAGAGAGGACAAAGTAGGAAGGCGCTGAACTATGGAGGAGAAAGTGAATGAAACAGGGCATAAAAAGGCCAGATGAAAGCAATGAAAGCAAACTTTATTCTATTTTTCAATTAGACTGGTCCCATCATTTCATGTAAAAGGAAAGAATATAAAGGGGCGGGAAAAGTAGGTTTACAGTTTGAGTACATGAAACACAAAGTTTACTCTTGTATTATTATTCATTTATTTATTATTGTCTTATTTATTATTATTAGCCTACTTTTAGCCCACCCATGTATTTTGTTTTTGTGGACTAAAAGGCAGAGTAAGCAGGTTTGTCAAGCAAAGTGAGAAAGACATATCTCCAAATGTGATATTCAAGCAATCTGTATTTTTTAAGTATTATGCATGTAATCATTATTTAATTATTATTTTTATTTACCAAACAGAAACTGTTGGCAATACTTTACGTATATTAACTCATCTAATCCTCCTAACAGCACTGGGGCATAGGTTCCATGCATTTTCTTCATTTGACAGAGAAAATGAGAACTGGGAGCTGGGCAGTCAAACTTTTGCATCCACTGACATCACACTACTTGTCAAACGTCTAAGTTGGGGTCAATGGAGGAAATATTTTTTAAAGATTTTATTTATTTTATATTTAGACAGAGGGGAAGGGAGGGAGAAAGAGAGGTAGGGCAACATCAGTGTGGTTGCCTCTCACACCCCCCCTAGTGGGGGAACTGGCCTGCAACCCAGGCATGTGCCCTGACTGGGAACTGAACAGGCAACCCTTTGGTTTGCAGGCTGGTGCTCAATCCACTACGCCACACCAGCCAGGGCAGGAAATATTCTTTAGTGTCTCTCAAGGCCATTGATATTTAACCTTGGGGTAAACCTGCCATTTGTAAGAAATTACTTGGGTAATAATTTTGTATACTAGAGGTTAAGAACCACCACTCATTCTGGGACTAAATGTGAAGTCTGTTACTACGAAGACCCTGAATCTTCCCAGCTGGATGGCCTCATGCAAACCGCACGAGGTCATTTCTCCCTCTTCATATACACTCAGAGGACCACAGACTTGTTGGTAAGAAAGACAAAATTTGTCTCAAACTTGAGAAAACTGGCACTTATTTCCATATGGTATTTTATTGTTAATGTTTTTTGAGAATCTTCTCAAATCTGCTTGATAAAAAGACAGTACCGTATTTGGTATTACAACTAGCCTTTATCAGACCCTGTCAAGAAATGGAGTATGTTACCCAGTTCATCTGCCTGGGAAAGACGTACCATTTACTATTTTTAATTAGTTGTCCAGGCCTGGAATCTTTCAGAGATGGTTCCATGTGTTTCTGACATAAATTTAATTCCACACAACTGATAAAATACAAGAATATTTTTACAGCTCCACTTTTGAAATAAACCTTTGGCTGGCATGTAGCTATGTTCTGCTTATATAACCATTTGTGTCCTTGATGGACTAGCTTCTTCCTTTAAGCCTTCTTTGAAATAGAATATTCTTTTATTTCCTCAGTAAATCCCTTCTTAAAGATATTAAATACATGGTTGACACTAGCTAAAGATTAGTTTGTCTATAAATTTCTGCTTATTTTGAAATTTAAATAACCTTGTAAATGTTAGAAGTATTTATAAACTGCAAAACTTTATACAAAACAACTGATCATTATTATAATTATTTAACTTATCTGGATTTCAGTTGTCTGTAGAATAAAAAGATCTGTGCTTATCTGTGAATTGTTATTACACAATATTTATCCAAAGAAATGACATGGTTGAGATTCCCTGAGCGTACAGCTGAGAAACTGGAGATATGCCTGCTTATTAGTGTAGTTATTAATGCTTAGCATGGGGTTCCATATGCCTCCGAGGAAGTAACATTCTCCACCTCACACCCTCCACCTCTCCTTATGACTAAAATCATATGCGTGACAATTACACATTACAGAAAGACTAAAGTCAGATCATTTCTGTAATAACCTCAGAGTTCACATTATCATCTCATCTCATTTAGCTGTTACTATTTCTACCTGTCTCCTAGAGTCCATTACACAGCTGAGATCAATTCAGTTCTTCTCACATAAACTGACTGCCCAGGCCCCTCATATTTTTGTCTTATTTGAAGTAGCTACCTAACACTTCCAAGCCAGCCTATCTTCATTGACTCAATTTAAGTTGATATAGTACAACCACGGCTGGTGTGGCTCAATGGATCGAGCACCAGCCTGTGAACGGAAAGTTCTTAGGTTTGATTTCTGCTCAAAGCACATGCCTGAGTTGCGGGCTAGGTCCCCAGCTGGGGATGTGCCAGAGGCAACCGATCAATGTCTCTCTCACAAAGGATGTTTCTCTCCTTCTCTCCCTCCCTCCCTTCTTCTGTCTCTAAAAATAAATAAGTAAAACCTTTAAAAAAAGGAAATTGATGTTCTACACTTTAAGAAACAGTGCCATAGAATAAAGCTGATGTAGCGGATGGAGTTCCAGCCACAAAGGAGACTGTTTAAGAAAAGAAATCAATGATTAAGACACATTGGTGTGGAAAGAGATGTGAATTGGTGGCAAGCAGTAAGGGTAGGAGGATTCTTCCAGAAAAAATCTTAAAACTAAAGTTTTAAAAAGAAATTAAACTCCTATGAGGAAAAAAACCTTAAATTCACCAAAAGTGTGCCTAATTAAATCAGATATTTTAAGAATTTGATATAGGATAGGGTGAGGATGACAGATATAGAGAGCTTCCAGTAAAAGACATTATGAAATGATGCCATAACATTATATAAATAATGATATGTATATCAATATGCTAATTTTGTGGCTAGAGGCTTTAAAAAAATAGTTAAGATTAGCTTCCAATACCTCTCCTTACCCCCTCTCACTCATACCTGAAAAATTTGCTGCTTTCTTCAGAACTTCTTGGAGATTCAGGTTCTGCTGATAAAGTTCCATTTGTTGTTTGGATTTCTCTTCCAGCTTCTGGGCAAGTGTTTCAACCGTTTCCTTGAGTTCCCTCTGTTGTTCACGGCAAGCTTTTTCTTCTTGCTTCTGGGCCAACATCTGTCCCTCCAGTATATTTTCCTGGTGAGTCAGATTTGCTTGCTGTTCCTTTAGAAGATCAGACACCTGGGATACTAAATTATAGCTGAATTAAAACTTCATTTCCGATCTCCAATGAATTTTGAAGAAATCAAAGAACTGAATCAAATAATCTATATTGACAACAGATACATTGCTGGAAAATGACTCAAATTTACTCAAAAACTACAGACTTGAAAGTTATTTGATATCCCCGCAATATAAATATATATATTTTTTATGATCAGGACATTTCACAGACACTGTAATTTAAAAAAATTATTTTCAGTGTTTTATTTGTTGTTGAGAGTTACACACAAGTTAAAAGAAATTCCAAGATAAGTATCAGTGGCATGAATAAAATAGAGACAGCCTAAAAATATCCAGTCATCACCAGCCAGACTCACTGACTATTAGTAAGAATGTCGCTAATGATTTACTGTTTGTGTCTTCATTCCTCTGACCTCTCTCTACCCTTTCAGACTTCCTACTTTTATATAAGAACGATGACATTGACCTCAGTTTTTGAGACAGCCTCCCACAGAATTATTTTAAGTGGCTGTGTCACAAGAGTCACAAACTTTTTGTTTTTGCTATAGCATATCTTAGGAAAGATGGAGATGAAATAAAGGTTATGAAATCAAGCAGGTAACAAATGTTAAGGGTCAAGTATCTCAGTTCTAGAAGTTTGCCGGGTCAGTACAAAGCAGTCTCCTGGCCTTGAAGGCCAGATTTAACCTCGTTGTAAAGAGATCAGAACCTCAGAGAAAGACCCTTCCAATCACCATCACTGGTCAAAAGCACTTCTCTCAATCATTTGGAAAGACCTGGGTGTTTCTTTATCGAAAACATAAATGGTTTGTGACCTAAAACAACAATTGAAAAACAAACAGCCCTTTAAAGGCCTTAATAACCCGGGTCTAGATAGCCAAAATTACGTAGGTCTACAACCTGAGTACACAGGTGGAATAGGTGGGTAACTGGCATCATTTTCTTTCCCTCTTGGCCACTCTCATTATTTCATTTCTTTTTCTCCAAACAACCTCTTTCCTGTACGCTCATACTATGAATTTAAAGTATATTTTATTTTAAATGTTTTATTTATTAAAACTCTTATTTCTTATCCTTAACTTTAAGTTGGCATTTAATTATCTCTGTTAAAACTCAGCATGAGCTAAATGAGGTCTCTTCTACTTCTGGGTCTCTCAGATGACCTTGTGGATAACCAGCTTCAAATTATTTTCTTCCTCATTATGTTTGAGTTTATGTCGGCTCTGTCTATGAAGCTATGAAAACTAATTGCAACAAAAACCTGTGATTCATAATCTTCATTCCATGCCTCAATCAATTTGAGAGACTAGCACAATACACCCATTCATCTTTCCATTCATTCTAAAAACAATTTGCCTAAAATGTATCTAAATCAAGGTTGTGTGTGGGTATTCTGAAACCAATTTGTAAACCATGTTTGTAAATTCTCATTTTTTACTCTGTCACTTCCCCATGTCAGCACTTACATTGCATTATCAGCATTATAACGGCCACCAGCAAACCCAGACAAAGGATCCCTAGAGTCACAGCCACAGGGCACCACCACCAGGAAGAAAGCAAACGAGGACCTAGAGTAACAGGATAAAATCAGAGAGATGAAAAGGACGAAGGCAAGTAATCAAACAATTCTTTGGATCTTGTCTGTACCTGGTGCTTTGCATTACTTACTTCTAGTCCTTCCAAGGACTCTGCAAATAACTCTCTACCCATAGTTACAGATGAAAAATCTGGACAGTTAAAGATATTAAGCAACTTACTCACTGTCACACAACTGAATTGATAGAAGATCCAGAATTCAATACCAGATATTTCACTCTATGTATCTGATTTGAAAGGTTATACAACTACTTTGGCTACTCCTCTGACAATAACTCTTCAAGAAACCCTCAGTCCAGTTTGACCGGATCAACTTTACCCGCAAGACAGGGAATCTGATGTTTTTATAGACCAAGTCTGTGCATGTACACACACACACAAGCACACACAATATGTATTATAAGCAACATACCACAAGTGAATGTCTGATGTCAAGCAAATAAACCTTAGTTAATTAACCGATACCATCTTAAAGAATTACAAGATAATGTTGTGCTATTCAACTTTTATTCTACTAAAATTACATATAAAAGCTGAGATTATTGAGCAAAGAAAACTAGAAATGAAACCTCAATACTTGCTTGACTCATAGTAATATTATGTTCTATACTTACAACAGCTGTGACCCTGTTGTTATAAGAAAAAATTCACCATGAATTTAGAAGCACAGAAATTATGTAACTCACGTGTGTGTGTGTGTGTGTGTGTGTGTGTGTGTGTGTGTGTGTCTAATTAGGTGTCCTACCACCTAACAGAAGAACAGATATTTTGGTGAAGCAGGAAAACATCTCATATACTTGGACTCCTCATCTTGTGAAATAGAACAAATAAGGCATTGATAATGTTTTCTTGTACATACAAATGAGGAAACTGAAAGACTTAGTATCTTTCTATGATCACACAGACATTCAGGTCCTGACATAAGTATTTAATTCAATTGTAAGTAGCTACATGACATGGTACATCATATCCCAAAATATCCAGTGTGGATGTGTAGTGGTCTAACTCTATCAATGGTCAAATCTATTCATAGCTGTCACGTGTCAGAAGTGCTTCTGCTGGGCTCTACACATGATACAAACAAAACAGAATTTTGACAGAAAGGAATATGCCTCATTTACTGATTCAGACTTAGTAAGCTCCTAGAGTGTATGTGGCAAGTTAGTAGAGAAGAAGTGGAAAATAGTTATGTCTTGTGCAAATAATTACCTAATCCTACTTTCAGGGGCAAATGTCAGTCTTTCAAAGAACATTGCCCTTGGTCAGTATCTTAAAGGTACATTCTGTAGGTGATCAAGTATGTCCAACATTCTTAAATAATGAAACTCCTGAGTCTTTAGAAGTCACAGGATCCACAACAGTGCAGGGAAGGCACAGTTTCCCATCTTCTATGGTCCCCCTTTGTCCTGTCTCCTTGACCGGTAGAGAGCACTTACCCAACTCCTTGCCCCTCCTATCAGTTATCTAATCAGAAAGCAATCAAATGTATGGCATGTGATGATCTACACAGGTTCTAAGAAAAGAATTTACATCATAATTGTACTAATAATAGCCAGGCACCAGTGTTTACTACATGAATAATGAATGAATGAATGAATGAGTGAGAAAACGTCTATTGTTAATTCAAAGATTTACCTATAAATGCCAATACTGTTTTCATATCAGGTTAAGTTCATCAGCTAAAATGTTAAATTATTACATGCTCACACTTATTTTTGCTACTGAGAGAAATTTTCATTTTGATGATGGAAACATACTCTGGAATGTCTTGTCTAAATTTGTATGACTTTGTTTGTATAACTTCCCTTTTTAATATTTTATTCCTTTCTCTCAAAATGGATATAAAATGAAGGGCATTCTATCTAGATTATCAATGGATTTGGGATTATAAATTAATTTTTACTTAAGCAGTTTAACTACTATGCATATCAAATTATAATTTTTCAAAAATGGTGTGTCGTAAAACAAAATGATGCTCAACTACACTGAATATTATTTTATCTGCTTTGTGTGATTCATAAAATATATTAATTTTTTGCAATGCCTCCAGGACTATTATAAAAACTGTCTTGTATAAACTGGGTAAATTAAACATTTTTTGAAACATCTGATGGATTGGATTCTAGAAAAATGGGAGATCGTGATACAATTTTAGCTCTACCCTTTACTAGCTGCATAAAAGTGGGTAATTTAGTGAAACCTGCTCCCCAGCTAGTCCTCAGTAAAAGGATAATTATAGCCTTATGTTGGGAACCGCTCTACCTGGTTTCAGAAACTGTAACCCCCTGTGGCTAAGGCTTAGTAAAGAGACCTTGGGGCCATAAGCTACTAAGGAGACAAAACTTATTTTCCTGGTAGGGGTGCTGCCTCTGCCTCTTTTTACTTCACTCTGCTTGGCCCCGGGTGATTGACTGGTTAGGCAATGACAGGTGAGATTCCTCAAGGGATGGATGACCTAAGATGGGCATGGTCATGAAGGGGCCCTCAGGGAAGGACTTGGGGGGCTATAGAAAAAGGAGGCGATGGACCCTCACCCCTTGGCTTTGACAAAGCCTGAGTCCTCATTCTGTCTGCAAGAAGTCTCCTAATCTCTTGGCTGCGTCACTTCCCGGGCCTGACTTAAGCCTGAAACAATGTCAGGGGGCGGTGCAGCCCTTTGCTGGAAAGGGCAGGTTCCCCAGGGCAATAGGGCCTAAGAAAGAAGGCTTAAAATCCAGTGAAACCTTCTTTGCTAAGAATGTCCTTAGTTTTCTGATAAGGGTCCAAACACAAAAGGAGTTTGTTTCGTAAAGTTTTATGGCCCTTTAGCTATCTGACTCTGACTCAGAATAAGCCCTCAGAGTTCTTTGTATGTTATCTATTGTTTGATCCTTACTGCCAGACAATAATTGAAGAGCTCTACCTATACACCCTGGATTCCTGTGCAAATTGAACCCAATAAAAACCCATAACAGGCTCCTGGCCCTTCTTTTTTGAGAGATCAACCACTTTCTTCCCCAAGCAGATCTTGTCTTAGTAGACTTATTCTCATCTGTGGCACATGACAGGGGTTGGGGGTGGGCTCTTTGGGCAGAGTCCCCCCACAGCCTTAATCTCAAGGAGTAAAGATTCAGAGAACTAGTGCAAGTAAAGTGAATAGCATAGAACACAGTACATGTTCAATAAAAGTTATCATTATTGTTTACTACCACATCATGCAAACTGAATTAGTTCATTCTCCATCATCATCTTTATGATCATCAACTCCACTGTATTTAATTTGCTTTTCTTTTAATTTATTAAAAAGTTATTTAATAAATAACTTTATTAACTTTCTTTTAAAAGTTATTCATTCTTTACTCTCAAGCATTTTAGTTCTCTAATCTTATATTCAGTTAATTTACATGTTTAAGTTAATCCTGGGATTCTGTCCCTGTACACATACAGTACCTTTAGCTTTCTCTCCATTTGCCTTCTGATCAGGTTGGTCCTTCATAATCTTGCTCTTGAGGTCATCAAAAGTCATATCCAAATTCATTCCAAGAATGAGAAAGTGAAGCAGTCAAGGACCTCCACAAAGTGAAAATGTGAGAGCTTTTGCTGGAGTGTTTAAATAGTGACTGCTATCTAACAGAGTGACTCAATCACTGGTAGGAGGAAGGAGCAGCTTTGCTTCACGTTTGCTGACGCAAATTCTTGGGTTATTCCTATTGCAGTCAGGGAAAGTGGTGATTCTGAGAGTATTTCAGGATATTTCACTAAGTGATTTATGAAAGGAAAAACTGTACTTTCCATGAGCATTAGAGGAGAGGAATTTGTACTCACTCTTCGGATAAGGAAACTGAAATTCAAATGGGTGGGATACACTGAATTTGTAAAGAAGTGTGTACTTGGGCCAGTTTAATTCCAGTGTCCATATTTGCTTGTTTTTCACTGTAGTAGGTGATATCTATACTGTATTCCCTTTTTCTCTACAGGGTATCCAAGACCAAACTGAAAACAGCTTATCTGCCATTTAAAGTGTTACTCTATGACAGAATTCTATATACCCACACATACAAAATCTCAGAATGTAACAAATATATTCTAGTCAAATTAGCTTGTACGTATCAGTATTACTTACCTCTATCACTCAAGCCCCACCTATCCCACCCTTCTTGACTGGGAGCGCCAGGAGGCAGGATTGGATCCATCTCCGCATACACCATGGCAACTTTTACATAATTAGAATCTCAAGAGATTGTTTTTAATAATGAATTAATAAACACTGAAGTGATACCACAATGACGAGGACACGTTGTCAGTCCCCACAGTGACTCAGCTATTTCATACCCCATCAATATTCTAGGGGAGTAAAGTGAGACATGCAAGTACACTTGTTGATGAAGTGGACTGACACGGATTTCTGGGGAGCACATCGTATCTTAGTATTAGTGGCAAAACAGCACCAGATGTTATCGGCGATGGGAACCTCAGTTCCTGAGTTTGGCAAAGAAAGAATCAGAGCTAAGGAACTCAAATTATAAGTGAAAGTTTATTTAGAAAATTAGAGAGGTAGTGGATGTGAGCCAGCTGGGCTGTGTCCGCTGAACAAACAAGTTAGACGCAAAAGGAGGGTTCTTGGAGCTTAGGAAAGAGAAAGGCGTGAGTGATGTGCCTGGGAGGAAGATGAAGGGAACGGTGTGGTGTGCTCCAGAGGGGAGGAGCTCCTGCCGGGTCATTTGTTTTAAGGTTTTTATCTGTTTTCCAAAGGTCAAGGGAAGGCATTCTCCAGGAGGTCTTAGGAGAGGATCTCAACCTCATATTCATCAGCTTTATGCTGATGTGCCAGGAAGAGACTTAGTCCCAGACTCCATCTGTCCTCGTACTAGCTAGACTTCTGTTATCTTTTTGAGTAGGGTGATTTAAGCTATTTCCCCTCTGGGTGAGATGAGGTGGAAACCACTTACTCCTAAGTGTCCTTGGCTAAGGAACACAGGATTTTGTGATTTACTAGGTGGCTGTAAACCGCTTGGCCATTTAACTATGCCTCAGTTTCTCTATTTCACCTGTCCTGGTTTACTCACCCATCTGACTAGTATATAATAGTTTATGGATTATCATGGTAAGAAGTGTCTCTAAAGGATATATGTGACTATAGTTAATGCACCCAAAGATACACAGAGCACCAGCAAGAACTGTATTCTTGAGGGGAGGCCTAAGATTGAGCGAGATCTCTCACTTGTTTTGGGTTTTTTTTTTTTAGGTTGTAAGTAAATATATTTTTTTAATTTTTAATTTTTTAGAAGTACATATGAAATGTTTATTTCGTTGTTAGTACTTTTAATATTTGAGAATTTGAGAAGATTTTTATGTCTATTTCTACCAGAAAGATGTGATGTTATGTCTCTTAACCACTGATGGTTTTTTTGTGTGTGATTTTGTGGTTATGTCCTTAGTATGTTTTTCTAACGGTGTTCATGTTTCCTTTTTTAAAATACTATTTAAACTGTTATAGTTGTTCCCACATTTCTCACCTTCCCCTCCATCACCCAGCCTCACCCTCGCCCCACCCCCAGCCAGCCCCCACACTGTTGTCCATCTCAGCGAGTTGTGCATAAAGGTTCTTTGGTTAATCTTTTCACCACCTTTCTTTCCTCTCCCCTGACCCTCTCCTTTCCCTCAGCTGTCAATCTGTTCTATGTATCTACACTTCTGTGATTTTTCTCATTTCTTAGTTTGTTGTGTTCATCAGATTCCACATATAAGTGAGTAGATCTCTCAGACTCCTGATATTTACCTCCACACTTTAACAATGAGACTGGAGAGAGCACAATTGTCCATTTTTGGAAGGATCAACACTCATGGAAGTCACACTAAGTAATTCAGGACCCGGTAATGAGCTCTATAAATCCTGTACTTATTTCAAATACATTTTTTTCTTCAAAAAAATCTTCTCTACTTAGCATCTACAAGTAGAATTATCATCATCAGTTTCTTTTCTCCCCTTATTTAATATATCTGTCAGTGCTTATATTGATTTTCAATTCCATGAATGTTATTTCACCTCACCAGCTAAATCACAAGTCCTTTAATAGTAAAGACAGACCCCTTTATATTAAGAAAATTCATTCTTTTCTATCACTCTGGCATGCCATAAAAATTGTGTAATATTCTGTAAAGAATAGACAGTTAATATATGAGATTCTTAACTGTAAACACATAGCACAAGCTGGATTTTTTTTAAAGATTTTATTTATTTATCTTTAGAGGGGAAGGAGAGAGGGAGAGAAACATCAATGCATGGTTGCTTCTTGTGCGTTCCCTACTGAGAACTGGCCCCTGCTGGTAACTGGCCTGCAGGGAACTGGCCTGCAACCTAGGCACGTGCCCTGACTGGGAATCAAACCGTGATCCTCTGGTTTGCAGGCCTGTGCTCAATCCACTGAGCTACACCAGCCAGGAACAAGCTGGATTTTTTTAAATACAAAGAAATTTAACAGAAAGCTGTTTTAGTTCCTTTATTTTGAGGAAGTGGAACAGAAGCTCAGAAAGTTTAGGTGGTTTGCTGAATAACTCTTTTTTATAAGATGCCAGACAAGAGCCGGCTCATAGTTTTTCCCATTATATCAGTTCATTGAAAACAAAAACATAGGTGATGGCTGAGATAGTATACATTCAGTATGAACATCTCTTGAAATAACTCCGTGAGAGACTTATTAGATCCCCGAGGCAGAGACAATGTGGTCTGTAGAAGACTTTAATGGTCCAGTGTGAGGTAGAGAACACCCACCCAGGGTCACCCTCCACGTTCTTCTGACTTCCTTCAAACCAGAAGCTTATATGGAGGGGCCACAACATGGAGAGTTTGACAGTCACCATCCTCTGGGTGATCTGGCTTCTCAGGACAGCCTTTTATGCCTTTCCCTATTCCAGCCTGATAGAAAGAAGTGGGTTGCTCTATTCATTTGGGGCAACTTACCTAACGAGATGTTTGCCATTTTGAGGTATACAGTTCAGTGGCATTGAGTGCATTCACACTGTTGGGCAACCATCACCACACTTCATCCCCAGAACTTTTCCATCTTCTCCAGTGGAAGCCCTGTACTCATGAAACGGCAACTCCTGTAATGGCTGTTTTTGTGTGTGGACTTCTCTGGGCCACAGGGTGCTCAGTCCGTCAAACATTGTTCTGAGTGTTTCTTTGAGTATATTTTGGGGTAAGATTGATATTTTAATGATGGGAGTAAAGCACACCTCCATCCTTAGTGTGACTGGGCCTCATGCCATCATTTCAAAGCCTAAATAGAACAAAACGGCCGACTTTTCTCCAAATAAGTAAATTTCTTCAGCAGACAGCCTTTGGGTTGGAACTGTGTCATTGGTTTTCCAGGGTGTCAGATTTGCCGATCTCTATGATTGCACAAGTCAATTTATTATAATTAATCTCTCTCTCAGTATACACATCCTACTGGTTCTGTCTCTCTGGAGGACCTTGACTAACAAAGCGCCTCTCTCCTTCTTTCTCCCAGCTCCTGGGCAGCACCATTCTGTTCTCTGTTTCCATGAATTTGCTACTCTATGTACCTTACGTAAGTGAAAGTATGTGTCGTTTATCCTGTTCTATCTGGCTTATTTCACTGAACATGATGTCTTCAAGTTTCATCCAAATTATAGCATGTGTCAGAATTTTCTTCTTTTTGAAGACTAAATAATATTCCATTGCATATAGAGACCACACTTGGTTTATCCATTCATTCATTGATGGAGATACTGGATTCCCCCTGTTTTTAAAGATCCAGGGGGATAATTCCATAATCTTTGTGTGGCAGATAGCTGGGCAAACTGGACAGACTTTAAGTGGCTCTCATTATCCCTGCCACCTGGTCGTCACACCTTTGTGTGATCTCCTCACTTTGAATGTGGGTGCAATTTGTGTCTGGGAGTGTGACAAAGGTGGAATGTATGTGGTCATATACATGATTACACATGGCAGGGTTTCTCTCCCTCTTCTCTTTCTTTGCCTGGATTTAAAGAAGCAAACTTACATGAATACCACTACCACAAAGAAATGAATTTGCTAGAAAGAGCTTGGAAGTGTATTCCTCTCCAGTTGCACCTTCCTGTGAGAACACAGTCCAGCAAACACCTTGATGGCAGCCTCATGAGACCCTAAGGAGAGAACTCACCTAAGCTGTGCCCACGCTTCTGACTCACAGACAGTGTGAGACAATACATGTTGTTATGCAATTACTGTTCATATAATTTGTGGTAATGTATTACAAGGCACATAAAACTAATACTCCTATGACAAACTTCATCCTCCTATTTTGTTAGACTTCCTAACACCTAATCTTGTTGCTGACTTTCAAGACTCTGAAGTTGCCACTTAATTCTCAGGCTAAAGAACTGGCTCATCTGCTAGAGAGACTTTGCAGTGGAGGGGTTGCAAAATGGAACCCCTCCACTGGAACTAATATTATCATTCTTCTGCCGTAATATTCATTTTTGAAGCCAGGCTTGTTGCTCACTGCTCAGCTCTTTATATTACGCTGGATGCTTCAGAGTAATAGTAGTCCTGGCCTCTATTTGACTGAGGCACAGAGAGAAAGGGAATCTGGTCACCTGACCTACGCAAGGTCAAAAGGAGAATATTCAAAGGAGCCAGGACTGAGTAATTCTTTAGCCCCACTTGTTATAGCTATTGTATAACAATTCCCCGAAGCACAGATGAAAAGGCCTGTGTGCATGTGCCCTCCATCGGTTCCACTCCAAGTCCTTAATGACCTGTGTATAAGCTAATGATTCACAAGCTTAATGGATACAAGACTGTGTAGGGCCGTAACAAGATCAGTCCCCTTTCCCGCAGCCACCTGCCCTTCCACGGTGTGCCTTCTTCAGTCTTCCCTCTCGTACGGGAAGAGTTACAGTTGAGCTCAGAGTTAAAACTGTCACTTCCATTAGGATAAACAAAAAGCTTATTTCTCCAGGAAATAATCCAGTGAGGTAAAAAAAAAAGTGGCACTAGTAATTCTAAGAAAAGTAGCTAGGAGGTCATTAACAAAATCTTATTTTGTTCAAACCTCTAAAGAAGCTGTAGGGCAAAAAGTTGATGGTAATCACATGTCAGGAAAGTGCTCTGGGAGGGAAGGAAAGTCATGTTAATTGGCAAACCTGTTTGTGCAGGTGAAGGCAGGCATGACTGGGAGAGCAGTTGGTGAGGACAGCAAGGGAAACTATCCAGGAACTGAAATGTCAGAAAAGGTAAAACATGGTCATGGTAACAACGATAAGCATGGAGGACATCAGTTATTCATGAAGGTGAAGGTCATTGGTAAAACTTGGTGGGAATCAAGGTCATCATAAGTAATACTTATAAAATGCTTATCAGGATGATCATATACATTTTACACACATTAACTTGTTTAATCTCCATAAATCTATGAAGATCGATAATCATTATTATTATCACCCCATTTTATATATAATGAAACTTAACTGACAGAGAGATGTAATAACTTGCCCAATGTAGCACAGCTAGTAAGTGAGAAAACATGTATTTAATCCCAGAAAACCAAGCTGGATTCTCAGCCATGATGCACTACCATCTTTCTGACAAAAGACAGAGAAAGGAAGCGTGAATGATGCTACCCATGCACGTGGCAAGAAATATTATAATCAAAATGCCTTCGTGTCTCGGATTGTATTTTCTCCATGAAACAAGATCTAGGGCAGGTCAAGTGAACATTCCACTCCTGTTTTATGAATGAGAAAACTGAAGACTGGAAAAATGACCTAATAACTCAGTGAAGGGCCTAGATTAGAATTCTGCTCTCCTTTTCCTATGAAATACCTCCGACCTTTGCCAAGCTTTCTGCTGAAATTCGGAAAATATTGTTCCCCTAGCACCAACTTTCTTACCTTTTTTTTTTTTAATAAAAAAATGGTGCTGCTCAGTAGTTTTGGAACTAACTGGTTTCAAATCATTAATGTCACATTAGGCTTTTCTCTCACTGTTTGATTTCCTTAGTTAAGAAAAAAATTAAGTTTATATTCTCCATCCTCACACTTCATCATGCTGTGTGAGGGCTCTTAGAATCAGTCTCACTCAACAGTTTCCCTTTAAAAAGCATCTGAAAGGCAGTTTTATTCCATTTGTGTGAAAATAAATGTATCTTTATAAACTAATGTCTAAGTTTCTTATGAAATACTTTGTGTTAAAACTTCTCAATACTTAGTATTAAGTAAAAGATTACCAACTTAGTTACAAATCATTTAAATGAGATTTATTTGTTCCTGTAGATATGTTTCTTTACAAACATTCTATGATTCTATGCCTTTTCCATATGTGCTTAATTTTACTCTTAACTTAAATTTTATTTGTGAGAGAGAGAGAAGTATTTTGAAACTGTATGTTTGTTTTTCTAAATGTGTTTGTCTGACTTATGTGTTTCCGTGGGAATTTAAGTCCTGGTGGAGGGGCATTCCATGGACAGGACCCAGAAAGTTTAATCTCTAAATCTGCTTTCTCCAAAGATGGGATGGATTTCCAGTTCATTTGGCAAAGTCACGATCTTACTCCAATGATTGGAAATAAATGACCCAGAACCAGGAGAGTTGATTATCAACACAGCAAAGGGGAGGGTTTCAAAGAGTAAGAGAGGAGGGCTAATCACGTGAAGGATGAGTGAATGGAGTTTAGGAGGGTGAGTGTCAACCATCAACACTCACCCTGGTGTGCTGTGGTGAAGAGCCAACAGTGTCACTTCTTTTCTGATGGAGAAGAACCATCTGCCTTGGATCCTCCTCCAAGTCAAGTTTTTCATCACTGCCTAGAAAAATACTTAATTCAGAGGGCTGATCTGTCCACCTCAAATGTCTTCCTTTTGCAGGCAGTGGTAGAAACTTAGTGACATGTAGAAAGAATTAATAGTAAAAGGAAAGGAATAGTAAAGGAATAGTAAAAGGAAAGTAAGACCAAGGAGGCAAATGTGGAGACCCTAAAACCAGAAATAGAAATAGAGAAAGAAGACAGGATGAAAGGGAAGGGAAAGACTACAGAAAATAAAAGCCCAGGGGAATAAGAAGAGAGAGAGAGAGAGAGACTTATTGCAAAGAAAAGTTTCTCTCCTAAGTTCTGTAGGTCAAGAAGTCAGACAAGGCACAGAGCATGGGAAAGAAGTAGGAGACGCCTGGTGAGCAATCCTTAAGAAGCAGGAGTCCAGCCCGATGGGAGTGAAAGTCCACGCCGTCTTGGTCTCTGCCCTGGTGTATTTCATCCAGGTAAGTTGTGAAAATACAGGAAAAATGTTTTGTTTTTTTTCTCAGGTAAGCCAACTCTTAGAAAAATCTTGGGGGAAAGAATTGAGGGGGAAAGACATACATAAAACCAAGGGGGTAGTGGGAAATGACTATCTGGAATGTTTCCTTAGTGTTGTAGGGTGACATAGTGTGGGTTCGATGAATGACATCAGTGAAACAGAGGACGGATATCAGGGCATCCATAGACACAAGTAAGATGGTACCAGCAACTTGGAAGTGCTGCTTCTGAATGTACATATTTCTCTTTTAGCATCTTATCACCCATCTCTCAAACTTCCAAGTAAATTATCACAACTAGCTATGTAATTCTTCTAAACAGAGTTTCCCATATCAGCCCTAACACTATTCTTGAAGTTTATAGGGACCTCCAGATCAGAAATAAGTTAAGAGGGAACATGCTTCAAAAATACTTGGGATTTTTTATTTCTCCCCACTAAAATTCAGAAGCTCCTGAGTAACTAACTCTTTAACTGGGAAAGGGGCCACTGGCCTGAGGGATTCTGGACGATTATCAACAGAAAGTTTACAGAGCTATGAAATCTATTAAGAAGGAGAGCAAATGAAGAAACTGCCTACCAGCAGGTTCCTGTGCAGCTCCCAGGAGGGGAGGGGGCTGTCAGTTTCACTTCCTATACACCAGTTAAACTAATTTCTGAAAATCCATTTCTTCTTTTTTTTTCACTTGTCGCTTCCTTTTTTCTCCCTTGACCTTCCCTTCCCCTCTTTTCTTTTTTCTTGTCTTTTTGCAACAGGCTTGAAATAGGCATTTTATCTTCTGAGAAATTTAGGCATTTTCAGCTTTTAGTCAAGAAAATTAAACAAAGTACCAAGGCTGGGCTGAAGAAACACAATTTGTCATGCTAGTGGCCAACTATTTTACATGGAAACAAACCCCCCGAGGTTTTCAAATATTACCAGTGGAGGACAGCTGTTAGTCTTTTTGCAAAATCCTTTCTGATGTCATGAGTATGTGTGTGTCCACCTACCCACAAAATCCCAAGAAGCATAAATCTGTCGCTGTTAGAGGACTTTTGTGGTCTTTGTTGTGATTCCCTGAAATATTGAGTCTTTCACGTTATTGGAAGAGAGTAGCTGTTCAATAAATACATCTTCCCCCTCCTTCTCCTCTTGTACAGTGAGTTATCGATATACTGAGGGATGAAAAGGAGAAGTGGCTTAGAATTTGATTTGCCCTGGGAAAGAGTTAGGAAGGCAATAACAACACTCTAGGCTGAAGGGGCAGATCAGGAAATTTCTGCGACAAACAAATTGACGTAAATGTTGCCTCTCGTTCACAAAGGCAGTGATGCTTAGCCCCCCACAACACCCCCTCAAAAAAAGAAGAAAAAGAAAGAAAGGAAACAGATTAGAAATGTGCTCTTCTAGGTTCTCCCCACTCAAATGTAGCAGTTCATTGGCATGGAAGAGATGAAAACAAATAGTCCTAAATACGGCTGACCTTATGACCTTGTCCTTGTATGTATCCTGCCCTCACCAACTGATCCAACAGCATAGTCATGAGGGACTGATAGGCTGCTGGGCAGAGATGTTCAGACCATTTCCCTGTCTGAGACCATTTCCCTGTCTGAGACCGTTTCCCTTCCTACAGCTTCTTCCTTGGGCAAGATGTGAAGAGAACTGTGTCAGTCCTGAACAGTAAGTATCTGAGAGTCCAAACTGGGAGGAAGGAGAGACAGACATAAACATCAGTACACAGAACAGGGTCAAGATGTCATCAGATATCTGCGACTTCCCTTATTTCTACTTAAATGGGCATCAGTTAGTTTATCTCACAGACTGATTACCCCCCCAAAAGGCATGCATATGAGTCATCCTGAGTACTCAAAATGATACTGCCGATAGCCTTTTCTTCCAGAGTTACCCATCACATCACAGCAGCAGACTTAAATCTCAGTTTATGCAGCCACAGAGCTGTGCAGTAGACTTTCTTACTCCTGTGTCTCAGTGACTCATCAAGACAGACTGGATTCCATATCTCAGTCACAGGCAGACAGCTACATTTGGGTGATTTCCAAAGATGCATCACCACTTCAAATCTAAAGAGCATTTTCTATTTTTAGGGCATGTTAATATTTATTACAGACTTTAGTTATTACTTTGAAATAGTCCTTAATGTAAACCGGTCACCATTAAGTCTTATGTAGACCTGGAGGACATAGATAAAAAGGAAAAAAAAATCATCCACTTGGAGGTAAACCGGTAAAAAGAAATCAAAGGCAGTTTGGATAAAAGGCTTACTCAGACTGAAGGAAAACACATAGTGAGCCATGGAGAGCGTTTCCCAATAGCCAAGTACGTTACGCCCAAGGGAAATGGGGATGGCCTTGGTTCCTTTCATAGCATCTCTGAGGTTTTAGACATCACCGTAGGAAGCTGTTTTTAGCGGAACCAGAATTGTCATGTTGTAGCACTTAGAAAGGGCTTCGAACAAATGGGGGATGTGAGACAACCCAGGGGAGACATTGTTCAGTGAAGAGCCCGCTTCCACAGCTGTGCAGCGGGAGAGAGGGTAGAGAATGCATGTCCATAGATGTCAATAGATCAGTCTACCGGAAAGCATTGTTAAATTTACTCATCTTTAAAAGTAAACATTTTCCTTCCCTCCCCTTCCCATTCTTGAGCTTATGCTATACTCCTCTCATACAATCCATATTTGTTTATGAAGAAAATTTATGATTGTGCTAGTTAATTCAGAATATTTCATTCGTTTTCATCACGGTGAAGGTGGTTTTTACATTTCCCCCCTGTTTTGTTTGGCCTCAGCCATTACACATATCAAGTTGGATTCTTAATGTAAAAATTTAAGACCTTTTTTATGGTAGGAGTTTTTATGGTGTTTTGGTGGCCCTTTTGTTCCAATAACTTGCACAACATAAATTACTAAAGTTGTTGTATTGATTTCAAAGTTGTAACTGAAATTATCTTTATGTTTAAACATGCTGACCTCACACATATACAAACATTAACTTTCACATCCACTTTCAAACTCACTCTTTGTACACTTACTTGCATTGGAAGTTCTTTCTTGGTAACTGTCATACTTTTTACAATGGTCATAGTTACATTTTCTGTTGATACTATTTTATGATCACTACTTCAGTCTAAAAGTGACTTACAAAATGATTTACCAATACCATCTATAGCGTAAAACTGTTTAAAGCAACCCATTACACAGTAGATTCAGCTGGTTACATTAAAGTCAATATAACCTGTAATGCTTTTGTTACAAGAAGGTATCATAACAGGCCTTAACTATATTTTTATTGCAAAAAACTTTGTTCTTTCTTCATAGTTGCCTGACCACAGATTGGGTACATCTCTGGTATATATGGTAAGTTTTAGCTATCATACCCACGAAGACTTTAATAATGGAGTTTATTTTTCTCAGAGCTATATGTGCTTTTAGTTTTTTTAGTTTTAAAATATTTGACAGCAGAAAAAAATATGTGTGCAACACCCAGCTTACTTAAATGGCATCACATGGAATAAAGACTTTTTCTCATCTCTACCCTATGTGACAATATGCCAGGATTTCCTATTTCAATACCACCTCCCCGGCCAAAATCAACAGATTATTGTGTACATTCTCGGATCAATTTTAGCGGTAGCCTACGGAGATTACTTCAGTAAAGTAAAAAGCAGTCCTCCAAAACCACATGAAATCTCTTGCTAATTGTTCAGCAAATTGACTTAGTCTTGCTGACAAAATAAGGAAGTATATATATGTGAAGTGAAAGCCTTGGAATTAAAAACCTGATAATTACTCTATAAAATATTCACACAAGAATCAAAATGCAGACATGGAAGGCCGATTGTGCAGAAGTTGGGAGCAAAGCAGGTCCCAGGGCCCTCACTGCCCGCGGGGCTCCTTGCAGGTTGCTGGTGGTCATTGGTGCGCTGCTTCTCCTGTGTGGCCTGACTTCTGTGTGCGTCCGCTGCTGCCTGAGTCGCCAGCGAAGTGGGGAAGATGAGGGCCGGCCACCCTACGAAGTGACAGTCATCGCTTTTGATCATGACAGCACTCTCCAGAGCACGATCACTTGTGAGTACACTCACATCATAAGTGGAAAGTGAACGCAGGTTCACACAGATGATTAGGATGGGACAGTGGTATAAAAACACTGATTGGGTACCGAAGATTCTAGAGCTCAGAGTGATTGACAATGAACCCTGAAACCTGACAATGCTCTCGTGAATGCTGTGTTCACAAGTGTTGGTCCTGACTGATGGACGACAGAGGGAAGGGGAAATGAAATGCTGGAGACAATGTCGGAAGTGTTTTGTAAGAAGAATTACCCAGCCCATACTTATTTTAAGCTCTGATCATATCCCTTTTCAAAAACTATCTTGAATTTGGTAAAAAACCTATACTTTCTATCTGTAGTTTTATATATTTAGAGAAATTTGTCCTGTGTACTCTCAGCTGTTTATTCTCCAAATCTTGATTCACTGAGTATGAGCCCCAATAGCCCTTCGATGATCATAAGACATTTTATTTTCTCCAGGTCTCTTCTTCATATTATATCCTTTATTAAAACTGAAGAGTAAATACCAGGCAGGACAGCAAGTGGCAAAACACTTGTGATATTTATTTTGCAAAGACAATAACTTTTCCTGCCTCCCAGTTCTCACAGTCATTTTGAGAAAAGATAAATAAGGCAGAAATAAATACTTCAGAGGAGTGTGCAGCATCAGTGGCTTGGTCTAAAAGGTTGTAAATCTAACAAGGGCGAGAGACAGAAGCACAAGTTCAGTTATTCGAAAATGCCAGAGGAGACAGAATCTTCCAGCAGAACATGAAATCGGTTTCTTAGCAAGCTGCACAGGATTTTTCACAACATTTGTGGCAAAGGCTGGCAGTGAATTTGGACACTCGTTAAGAGTAAAGGGAAATTGTGTTGTAAATCCAAGTTCTGAGGATGTCAAGTTTACTTTAGCTCTATTCCTTCTTCCCTCACCAGCCCTGCAGTCAGTGTTTGGCTCTGCAGCTCGGAGGATCCTGGCAGTGGCCCACTCCCACAGCTCCCTGGGCCAGCTGGCCTCCTCCGGGGACACCCTCCCTGGGTATGAGGAAGCTCTGCACATGAGTCGCTTCACCGTTGCAAGGTGTGGGCAGAAAACACCTGACCTACCCCCAGTGCCAGAAGAAAGGCAGCTGCCTCCCATGGAGAAGGAATGTCCTCAAGTAGAACACTCTTCAAATTGATGGGAACTTTGGCTTTATAAATAGGGCGGGGTATCCCTATAGTGGGTCAAGATAGACAAATGGAACTTTCTTTTTTTTTTGCTAACTTTCAGAAGATTTAGGATGACATCTAAACACCATTCCGTGGGAAAGCTGGATTGCAAGTCTTCATTTCCAGCCACAACATATATTTCCTGGTGTGGAATGCTCTAATCATGAATTTTCATTCTTTACCCAATACCAAACTTTGCAGCTAACCTCTAGCAATGCTGATTACTACCAAACCAGAAAAGCAACAAAGTTGCTTGAATTCCTTCAACTATTGAATTCTTTTACCCAAAAGACACTGCGAGTTGCTCTTCTCTGCCAGTTCATAGAATACACTTGAGAAAGATAGTTGTGTTAGTGCACCAAATTCATGCTTTCTCTTAAGAGAACACCCACTTTTATACTCAGTGACAATGGTAATCTTGGGCATCACACAATACTTAACTGGCTTACAGGTATGGGCTAGGAGAACGCCGTACGTACTGAAATGCCAAGTATGGAGGTCTTTTTCTCACGCCGTGCCTACCGGTGGTCTTGGATGCTGTGCAGAGTGCAGTAACAGTTCTATTCCTCTTTCAGTTCCCCTGTTGTGAACACATGCATGCACGCATACGCTTGTGCTTGCACACACACATACCCTTTCCCAACTGTGAAAGAATGACATTGCTTTGCTTCTCTCCGACTTCCCACTTTGACCACTTAAAGCCAAGGGTCTGTAGCCAAGTGTCTCAATGCCACCAGTCTGTAGTGGTGGCATTTACTGCCACCTAGTGTAGCCATAATAGAAATGCATGCCCCTATTGGAGCCAATCTGCACTCTTCTCCAGCTCCGACTGAACTAAGCCTGGATAAGATCCTTCCCAAGGCACCACCCTTTTGAGTAATGTTAACCTTTCCACCTAACATACTACATCCAAAATGTACTACTATATTTGGTGAAAAACTGCTCACAGGGACTTTCGATAACTCAATGAAATTTTTAAAGCACAGTTTTCTCATCCGTAAGATAGGCAGGCGATAGTAACACCTCACAGGTTTATTGCAAGGATCAAGCTAAGTATAGGTGACAAGATTTGTAAAGTAGTATGTGTGTGTATTTTTGTTATTCTTGATACAGATATGTAATTTTTACTCTTCTTGCTACAATTTTACTGAAAATTATGTTCCAGTTTGTCCTTTTGCTATGTTATTGCTAAGTCATACCTGAAGTAGCTTTGTTTCATCAATAATATTTGTTAATTGAGGTAAACAATTACAGCTATGTGATTCCTCTTAATATGCTCTGTGTAGAGGTAATAAACAGATTTATTGGAAAACTTTTTGAAAGGAATTAGCTCCAATGCTCAGAGAGGCATTATAGAGCCCGGGGCGAGCTGATTAATGCAGTGCCTCATTAAATATATTTTGGGGAGGAATGCTCACTCACCCCATCCAGAGGGAAATTTTTCTAAATATAACTTGCTGGCGATCTGCATTTATCCTGAGTCATTTACGGATTGCCTCTGGAAATTGTTGAAATGCATGACTCGTTAATAGCACCTGAGGTGGCCTTGTTTTGCCATTGCCACATGAATCACTTCATTACCACACATTCCATAAAACATTCTTGGCTTAATCATCCTGCAAGACTGTAGTCATAAAGAAGTTAAAATGTTGTCAAGTATAAAAAGATCTTAGGTACTCACTTCAGCAGCACATAGGCTAAAACTGGAACGGAGATTAGCATGGCCCCTGTGCAAGGATGACTCACAAGCTGCTGAAGTGGTCCATATTTTTATAAATAAACAAAAATAAAAAGATCTGGGAAGAAATCTTGTCTGCTCTAAAGAGATCTTTCTGTGTCACCCCTCCCTGCCTCTTTGCCCTTCTCTTCAGAGATGTGGGGTTCCCCTGTGTCACCATTCCATTTTTTCCCCAAGCTAGTAGCACTTCTTGGCTTCATTTCTTTATCTGCTCAATCTAAGACAACAGTTAATCAGCTCAATCACTTTCACCATTGTTCTCAAAATATTGTAACCCCTTTAAACTTTCCTCATGCCTATTATTCAAACTTTAGATGTTGGTGCAATGAAGCTGATTTCTCCCCAAAATCTACACTGCTGTGCAGAGCTGCAGAAAAATCTCTCAACTGTGTTGACTGAGGTCATTTACAAGGTCATGGTTTCCAACATGTCTGAACCATTTACCATTTCTTCTAGATTTTTCTTTAATCATTTTCCCATTCTTTTCGGTAGTAATTCAGATTTCAACGTCTCTCTTCAAGCTTCATGCCCCATAACCTACTCACTAATTCTAGAAAGGGAACTTGTCCTCCTACTTTAGAGAGAAAATCAGGTATCTTCCTAGCTCTAGGCTACACCCTTTGTGAATCTGTACCTCTCCTTTCTTCTTCCTTCTGGTCTCAGTGAAATAGATTTCCTGCTTGCTTCCCAATACACTTCTAACTGTGCTTTGTATTACCTTGATCCAATGGTTTATGTGTTCAACAGGTATCATTTGGGAAATCGTGCTAATAGTGCAGAGGCAGCTGGGGGTATAAATGTGCATAAGAAATACAGGTGTCTGATTCCTGGTCTTCATGGAGCTTAAGAAAAAGCAAGAATAAAATGATTGCAAACATGAACACTGTAAAGAACTCTTGGGAAAGGCAGAGTGATGGAAGAGCAGGTTCAAAGATACAGTAGAGTTTGGTAAATTTGAGGAAATGAAAAAAAGAGAGAGAGACTAGAGTAGCTAATTTAGTGAACTCAGGAGAAAGCTGCAGAAGTGGAGTCTGAAAGAGAGAAGGGGCCTGGGGACAAGGAGTCTACACTATATTTCACATGCATTAAGAAGCCATTGAAGGATTTCAAATTAAGGTGCAATCTGAAGTCTGTGTAAGATATGGAGCAAAGTTGCTTGTAGACCAGCTGAGTGCTCCTGGTTTTGTTATCAAGTTGTGAGAGCAGTAAAGATCACCTATGTGCTTGCATTTTCACATGCCTCCCACTGAAAGACAAAGCCCGAGCCTTCCAGGGAAGCCACAGCCCAGGACCCACCCCAGCATGCCCTCCCCACGGACAGTCCAGCATGGTGGTCTGAGGTCAATTTTGCACCTGCCCAGGCACTGTGGGTGCTCCCTGTGTGTCTGGCATATCCCCTCCCCACAAGCCTTTTTATACCTTTATTTCCATTCCCATGCCTACCTCCCTTACCTTCTCACCTCTGGACTCCTTCTCTTTGGCTGCCACATCATCTGGCCCTGTTTGTTTAATGTGAGCAAGTTGATCCATGCTGGGGTTGGAAATCAGCTTTCTGTGTTGCCTGGGAAGCTTCAGGCAAGATGTTCTTTTCTGTCCATGAAAGGGCCCTGGTTCCCCAGATTCCTGGGTGTTGATAGTGATCTCAAGACCCAGTGTTCTGGGGCTTGGTGGTAAGGAGCTCCTCTCCCTCCCTGGTGGAGACAGACTCTGGGTCTTCATTGACCACCTGTTGCTCCTCCATGGCCTGGGTTGAACTCAGCAATGACAGTGACCTATAGTCAGTTTGGAGGCCTTAAGGCCAACTTGGTCCTAGTTGCTGCTGCTTCTGCCTGTCTAACTTACATTGTCAGGATTCCTTTCCTTTCAGATAGTATATGATGAAGTCACAGAACTCTAAGCACTTGCTTCATGCTAATTGTGAAGAGCAAAACCACTTTTGGGGGAGCAATTAACATCCAACTTCATAGTGTCCCACTCAATGAGGAAAAATTGTATCCACTAGGAAACAGTATAATTTGACCACTGGTGTGAAAATATGCATTATTGATTCCCTGCTTATGTTTTTTCTACTTCTGACCCTTTCTATCACAAGCAGGACATTTTTGTTGTCAAAGATAGTGTAGTGTAATAAGGACACAAGAAAAAGAAACTAGAATCAGTCTTTTGTAGTTATTTATTCTCACTTATTTATCACTCATTCTTTAGGATTTGTTCTCCTTAAATAGAATGCTTATTGTACAGAATTCAATACGTAAGGTAATAAGAGGACATTTAATTTAAATACATCTTTTAAATCAAACATGTGTTCACACTTTATTTGAATCATGTGCCTAAAATTCAAAGCAATACTTTTAATGTATTTTCAGAGACAGGAAAATAAATAAATCTTATCAAGTAATTTGACATATATAGATCTTTGCAATCAATTTTTAAAATTTGAATTCTTTCTTTTGTTTCACTTGCCTAGGGAAGCACACCAGAAAGAATACTGCTACGATCAAAGTCTGAGATGTAACTGCCTAAGTTGTCTCCTGGGGTTTTTAAGGTTTTAGGTCTAACATTTAAGTCTTTGATCCATTTTGAATTTATTCTTGTGTGTGGTATATGAAGGTATTCTAGTTTCATTTTTATACAAGTATCTTTCCAATTTTTCCAAAACCATTCATTGAATAAAGTTTCATTAAGCTATTGTATGCACTTACTTTCTTTGTCAAATATTAATTGTGGGTTTATAAAAGTGTGGCTTTCCTTCAGCGCCCTTTATTTTGTCCCATGGATATCTGCAGCTGTTTTGATGCCTATTCCTTGTTGCTTGCATTACTATGTCTTTATAGTATAGTTTGATATTTTATACTGTGATTCTTCCAGCTTCATTCTTCCTCAAAGTCCTGTTGTTATTCAGAGCATTTTGTGGTTTCCAATAAATTTTTGAAATATTTGTTCTAGTTCTGTGAAATATATCGTAGGTGTCTTAATAGGAATTGCATTGTGCCTACAGGTTGCTTTGGGTTCTATGGATATTTTAAAGGTGTTAATTCTTCTTATTCATGAACATGGTAGGTACTTCCATGTATTTGTATGTCCTTCAATTTCTTTCTCCAGAGCTTCATAATTCTCTGAGTACAGGCCTTTTACATCCTTGGTGAGATTTATTCTTAGGTATTTTATTTACTTTGATGCAACTGCAAATGGTATTGATTTCTTAGCTTCCCCTTCTGCTGGTTCATTTCTGGTGTACATAAATGCAACTGATTTGGGTATGTCTGTTCTTTATCCTGCTAGCTTAGTGAATTCAGTGATCAGTTCTAGTAGTGTTTTTTGGTAGAATCTATAGAATTCCTTATATAGAGAGTCTTGTGATTTTCACATATGCCTGTCTGGTTGTTGAAATCACATGTGTGTGGTATGACAGGTGGGATCCTAGATGCAGATGGTTGCTCCACGTGTCTCAGGAGAGAGGACCCCTGAGGTCCATATTTGTTGGCACCCACTTTAGCAGCTGCTCAGCCGCCCTCATGTATGTGGACCTGGGTTGGTGGGTCCTATGCCTTCTCCATGGAAATTAGTGTTTTTACCAGTTTCCAGCTGATTCATCAGTGTTCTGATGGGTAGTCTATTTTTTTACATTTGATCTATAATCCATCTGACATACTCCTTTACAAACATATGTGAGCAGAAAAAAAAGATACCTATTATAACATTTTGTGTACAGGAATCCTCCAGAGGAGGTAAAGGAAGAACCAGAGCTGATCGGGAGTTGCCAGGGACAGGAGGAGTGGGGCGCAGGACACTTGGTGCAGGGTCTTCTTTTGGGAGATGGAACATCATCTCATCAATAGAGTGATGCTTGCACAGCATGTTAGTCTACATCATCCTCACGAGTGGTATAGTATATAATAAGAACAAAATCTTTTATTTAGTATTTCCGTTGAAGCCAGCCCAGGGACACAGGAACATGAAAATATAGGAATAAGGTCAGAAGGTGAGGTAAAAGAGTTCCTGGAGGAAGTGGGATAGCTGATTGAATGAAAACTCTACAGCTGACCCTAAGTATTTCCAGGTAAATGTCCCCCTCCTCGGTGAGAACAAGGGCTGGATCAAGTGAAGATATTTCAGGGGATCCTAGCAGGACAGGCTCTGTGAGGGGCAGCAGCCTGCTCCCTATAGCCCTTAAGAAACTTGTGGATTCCATGATGTCTCAGAACCTTCGAAGTATGCAGTGTACTGTGCTCTAATGAGGCACCTGGTTACACAGATGGGTGTGTGAAGTCCATGCCAGCAGCCTTGACAGAGCCCTGGGTGGGTGGTGTGCCCCAACCCTCACCAGCACTAAAGGGGCTAAAATTTTTTTACTTGGGAATTACAACGCGTCCAAGGGCTGTAGTTTCAAGAGGAGAAGTTTTCATTTGCATGCCTACATACCAATAACCCCACAAACAGAGAACACACCACTGAGCCTTCTAAAGTGGCTGCTCATGATATTCCCCCACAATGTATCCTCCCGCAGACGTTCCAGCCAATTTCTTAGGCTGAGTTCTGACTTTCCCCTGCAGACCAACTTGAGCTCTCTGTGTGTCTAGCACCAACTCTTCCTGAACAGCTGCACATTCACTCCTTCACCATCACACAAGGACCTGACACAACGCTGACAGATCAATCTGGGATCCAGTGTTTCCTAGTCTTCTAAAATGGCATAAGGAGAGGAAGCAGCCTGCTCCACTTTGGTCGAAAAGGTCTCCTTTTTTCCCAAGATACCCCTGAGTCTTCAACATCTGGAGCATATAATGGTCAGTCAATAGTCCTGATTCCTGAGGTGGATGTCTACAGCTCATGACAGCAGCCTTGACTGAGCCCTGGGTGAATGGTTCACCCTTCCCCTCACCAGCTGTGAGAGGGCTGGATTCTTCTCTCTTCAGCCTTTCAATGTGTTCAGGGCTGCATTTGCCAGAGGAGAAGTGATCAATTGCATGCCTACATCCCAATGGTCCAACAAACAGAGAACACACTCCAAGACTTCTGGAGTGACTGGTCATGACGTTTCCCCACAGTATATCTTCCTGCAGACATTCCAGCCTATTTCTTAGGCTGAGTTCTGTCTTTGCCTGCCCACCAGCTCGAACTCTCACTGTATGTCTGGTACATACCCTTCCTGATAAGCTGGCCACCACTCCTTCACCATCACAAAAGGACGTCACCTCAAGTCTAACCTTTCAGTGGGGAATCCAGTGTCTCTTGGTCTTCTGATATGGCATAAAGAGGGGAGGCAGCCTGCTCTACCTTGGCCAAAACGATCTTCTTTTTTGCATGACACCCCTGAGACTCTGATGTGTGGGGCATATCATGGTCAATCAAGGGTCCTGGTTCCTGAGATGCGTGTCTACAGCCGCCTTGAGTGAGTCCTGGGTGAATGGTGCACCCTGCCCCTCACCAGCAGTGAGAGGGCTGGGTTCTTAAACTCTTTGGCCTTTCAATGTTTCCAGGGGCTGTATTTCAATAGTAGAAGTTATCATTTGCATAACTACATCCCCACGGACCTGCAAACATAAAACATAATTAGAGTCTTCATAGAGGTTGCTAGTGATATTACACCCTGAGGACACCACCCTGCACACATTCCAGCAGATTTTCTAGGCTGAGGTATGTCTTTGCCCCACCACACTGGCTTGAGCTCTCACTGTGTGTCTGCAACATACTCTTTCTGATAAGCTGAGCACACACACCTTCATTATTACAAAAGGACCTCACCCCAACTTCCATCTTTCAACCTGGAATCTCATGTCTCTTGGACTTCTGATAAGGCATAAGGAGGGAAAGCAGCCTTCACCACCTTGACCAAAAAGGTCTTCTTTTTTTCAACAGTGCTTCCCAAGAATCTAACATCTGTGGCATATTGTAGATGGTCAAAAGTCCTGGTTCTTGAAATGGGTGTCTGCAGCCCATGACAGCAGCCTTGAGTGAGCCCTGGGGAGATGGTGCACCCTGCCCTTCACCAGCTGTGAGAGGGCTGGGTTCTTCACTCTTTGGCCTTTCAATCAGTGCAGGGGCTGCAGTTGGGGGAGGAGAAGTTATCAATTGCATACCTACATCCCAATGATCCAACAAACAGAGAACACACCTGAGCCCCCTAGAGTGACTGATCATGATATTTCCCAACAGTGTATTCTCCTGCAGACTTTCCAGCCTATTTCTGCCTTTGCTCCTACCACTGGCTCAAATTCTTGCTAGGTGTCTGGACCTACTGGTCCCAATAAGCTGGCTTCTGCTCCTTCCCCATCACAAAAGGACCTTGCCCCAATTCTTACCTTTCAACCTGGAATCCAGCGTCTCCTGCTCTTGTGTTATGGCATAAGAAAGGAAAGCAGACTTTACTACCTTGGCCAAAAATATCTTTTTTTGATGAAGCCCCTGAGACTTTAATGTCTGGGGCACATTGTGGTCAGTTGAGGGTCCTGGTTCCTTAGATAGATTTCCATAGCCTATGACAGCAGCCTTGAATGAGCCCTGGGCGGATGGTGTACCTTGCCCTTCACCGGTAGTGAGCAGGCTGGGTTCTTCACTCTTTGGCCTCTCAATGTTGCCAGGGACTGTATTTCGAGAGGAGAAGTTATCAGTTGCAGACCTACAACTCTATGGCCCCACAAACAGAAAACACATTTGGTGCCTTCGCAGAAGTTGCTGGTGATATTACACCCTGAGGACACCACTCGGCACACATCCCAGCAAATTTCTTAGGCTGATCTGTCTTTGCCCCACCACACTGGCTCGAGCACTCACTGTGTGTGTGGCACAGACCCTTCCTGACAAGCTGCCCACCCACTCCTTTACCGTTACACGATGAACTGGACCCAACTGTCACTTTCGACCCGGAATCCTGTGTCCCAGTCCTCTGATATGGCATAAGAAAGGGAAGTAGCCTTCTCCACTTTGGCTGAAAAGGTCTTCTTTTTTGCACCAAGTCCCCTAGACTACGATGTGTGTGACATGTCGTGGTCGGTTGAGAGTCCTGGTTCCTGAGTTGGATGTCCACAGCACGTGAGAGCAACCTTGAGTGAGCCCTGGGTGGATGGTTCCTCCTGCCGCTCACTAGTGATGAGGTACTGGGTTCTTCAGTCTCCTGCCTTTCAATCTGCTGAGGGGTTGCAGTTGCGAGAGGACAAGTTATCACTCGTATGCCTACATCCCAATGGCCTGCCAAAAGAGAACACACCTGAAGGCCTCTTAGTGGCTGCTAATGATATGAATCCGCAGGACACCACACCTCAGGTATACAGCATTTCTTGACTAAGGTCTGTCTTCCCTCCTGTTTACTGGCTCGAGCTCTCACTGTGTGTCTGTCACGGCCTCTTCCTGATAAGCTGGTCACCCATTCCTTCATCATTGCACAAGGACCTTGCCCGAACTCTAATCTTTATACCCGGACCCCTGTGTCTGTTGCTCTTCTTTTAAGGCATCAGGAGAGGAAACAGACTGTTCCATCTTAGCAGAAAAGGTTTTCTTTCTTGCATGATGCCCTTGAGATTTCTACTTCTGGTGCCTATAGTGGTTGTTGAAGGAACTGTTTCCTGAGGTGGATGTCTACAGCTCATGACAGCAGCCTTGACTGAGCCCTGGGTGAATGGTTCACCCTTCCCCTCACCAGCTGTGAGAGGGCTGGATTCTTCTCTCTTCAGCCTTTCAATGTGTTCAGGGCTGCATTTGCCAGAGGAGAAGTGATCAATTGCATGCCTACATCCCAATGGTCCAACAAACAGAGAACACACTCCAAGACTTCTGGAGTGACTGGTCATGATGTTTCCCCACAGTATATCTTCCCGCAGACATTCCAGCCTATTTCTTAGGCTGAGTTCTGTCTTTGCCTGCCCACCAGCTCGAACTCTCACTGTATGTCTGGTACATACCCTTCCTGATAAGCTGTC